ACACTTATGCTGTAACCTAAACCTAGTCACAACATTTTAAAACCATGCAAACAACATAGTAATCGCTTACAAACTATAAACAATTAACGTTATAACAAATTACAAACATAGAAACACTTCATATATAAAAGATATTTACACACTTACAAAATCTAAACCCATATAACCTTAACACATTTAAACTCATAATAAATAACACAGAAATATAATTGAATATATAAATTAAGAAAAATATATGAATTAGAAACATTTATAAAATGGAACCATATTTTTTAATATTTATTTAATTACATACCTCGTAATAAATGTTTAACAACTTTAAAATAACAAACGATCAAACTACCTGGTTTTTTATATTATAAAAGCAAACAGATTTTCTTTAAAATAAGATACTAAACGATCTTGTTCGTTAACACGCAACATAGAATTGATTGTTTGAGATGCAAAGGTTTTACATAAAAACACTAACTTTAGGATGAGCTTAACGTTTTGACCTTTGGAATGATCATTTCAAAAAAGCCATTATCGTCTTCGAATTTTTAAAAGATACAGAATAATATACTTTAAATACAGTTGACAAAAGACTTGAATTATGCTATTATTAAAATGCATTAATTAAATAAATTACTTGTATTTAAAAATAACATAAGATTTATCTTTTACTCCAGAAGTCATTAAACTAAAAAGTTTTTGATCTTAATTTTCAATATTTTTTTATAAAAGTTTAAAAATACCTCATTACGTTGACAAAAATATAAAGAGAAATATTAAATGACCAAATATGGTAAAAATTCCCTGTAAATCGCTCACGAATTAGTAACGGGACCAGCGTTAAGCTAAGCAATAATATAAAGTGATAGCTAATTTTTTATATATTTTTGTAATCAAAAAAAATGGAAAAAAAATTTCTTTCTGAATTTTGTATAACAATACCACTTTTATGGTATAAAATACCCTATAATGTAAATACCATAAAACGATCCGCACTTACATTGGCAGAATATTGGCTCAACAGAGCCACGGCCAAATATTCGCCCAACATAGTACGATATTTGATAAAAACTGATCTGGAGATGTTAAATTTTACGCTAATAAAAACTTTGGCTAAATGTTGGTCCAATGTTGTAAAATATTTACGAAAAATTGATTTGCAGATATAAAATATTACCCCAAAAAAAAAAGATTTGCTAACGGTTGGCCCAACAAAAATAATTTCCCAATCTGAAAACTTACGTTAGGCTAATGTAAACTTGCTGCCTGGGAACGGCTCAACCATGGGCTAATCTAAGCTTGCTGTCTGGGGATAGTTTTGGAATAGGCTGAGCTACTTGTTATTGAACCGTGTTTAACCAATGATATTTGGCACCCCCGACTATCATCTTTTCTTCTACCATCTTTATCATATGCCTCAATATTTTAATGAATTATGGAATTTGCTATTGTGCATTCAAATTCTGGCACTGACACAAAGCTATTCTTGTTAACATTTGAGAAATAGACTACATTCAAATACAAAATAATTCATATTAAAACAACGTTTCTCCAATGTTTGTAAATGACTTTTTTCATTCTGAATAGTAATAATACAACTTCTAAAAATAATATCATCTATAACAAAATTTGATTACCTTATATAATCTAAATACTCGTTTGTATAACGAACAATAATTAACCATCGACAACTATTAAAACTTTAAATTCATATGAATATGTTTTCTTTCCTACGAGTTGACTTTAAATGCAATTTAAAGTTGGTGTAGGCTTTGATATGTTGATTATTGCATAATAAATTGTTCATTAACAGTCTGACTTTTTGCCAATGATATATGAAAAAGACGTTAAAAAATTGGTAAAGTTAAGCCTATGAATGAAGATTTTTAAACATGAGATATGTCTTTTGAGTTAAAACTTACTATTTAATAATTTTCGTTTACTTCTAAAAATCAAATATTAAAAATATATTTAAAATGTAAAACATATTCTTGTAAAAACGCCCCTGTTGTAATCATCAACATAATTTTATACTTTAATTTTTTATAATAGTAAATATAAAATATAACTTATATCTTTTTTTTTCTTCGTTATTTAGGTGCCCCAAGAAGACCTAACGGTCTCTTTGGTGCACCTAAATAACAAAACAAAAGCAAAAAAAGATATAATCGTCTCCTTTTTTACCGTGACGCGAAAATATGTCCAGAATTCGTTTTGAACCTGGATCTCCTACTTATAAAGCCAGCGCTGTAACCACTGCGCTACAACCGCAATTTAATGACACTAGACTCGCGTCATTTAGATTGCGGCCATGGTGGGTATTATTAATAGTACTTGCAAATTTTACATCACTAGATACTAGTGATGTACAATTTGCAGGTATTATTAATAGTACCTGCAAATTATTATATAATGTTTATAAAACTTATGTAAATATTATAAAAATGTAATACCTTTATGAACTAAAAAAAAAAAAAACTATTATAAATAAACTAAATTTTTTTTTTTAATTTAATACTTGTTACTGAGTGACATTTTTTCATTTTCAAGACACTTTAATTTAAATTAGACAATTTTTTCAAGACACTTTAATTGTCTTCTTTACTAAATAAATCAAACATTTGAAACCCGTAAAATCATAGACAAAAATAATTTGGTTATCGCCTTTAATATTACATAGATAATTTAGATTTTAGGAAAAATGTTAGAGGCACATTATTTGAATGTTATTTAACATTTCCTTATTTAAAAATAAATAAAATATAAAGTCAAGAGAACTTTTTGAAGTTGGCTTCTTATAAGGTAACCTTCTAAGATTCTTAGAAGATTATTAAATAAAGCCTAATATGTTTATTTTTATAACTTTAAAAAATAAAAAGTAAATATCAAATCATTTCATTATATTGTAAAATAATATCATTTTTTAAAAATGTAAGGCAACAAACTTTAAAAATGTACCAAAAAAATAATCCGCAATATATTCATTATATATATATATATATATATATATATATATATATATATATATATATATATATATATATATATATATATATATATATATATATATATATATATATATATATATATATATATATATATATATATATATATATATATATATATATATATATATATATATATATATATATATATATATATATATATATATATATATATATATATATATATTTAGATAAGTTATGAATTTCTCTAAAGGATATATTTAACATATGTAGAAGTATGTAATATCTAAAATAACTGTAATAAAATAAAATCAGGCAAATAATAAGCTTTTTATAATAATTTTTTTTTAATGTAAATAATAAGACTTAATAACACTAGTATTAGTTTTAGTCTGATAAATATAAAACAAAGCTGCAGGCAATCGTTAATGCAAGTTTAAAGTTTCTATGCAATAAGATTGAGTAAGAAACCAAGTAACTGAAAACTCAAATAACAATAATCAATATGCAGCAGAAAAATATGAAAACAAAAAGTTTACAAAGCACTTATGTATAAAAAAGAATCGTTAAATGTATAGTTTTTAGGAAAAAAAGAATTTGGCCTATCACGAGTTATATAAAATTGAAGGTTAGTTTTATTATATACATTTCCAAGGGCAGATCAAACAAAATATTCACTGGAACATTGCATTTTTCCCTAAAGAACATAAAAAACTGAGTATAACTAAACGTAGTCTTTCAATGACAAGAGTATTCTCTAAAAAGATGATTTTGAGTTAATAAAAATAATAATGGAATTAGAAGTGTTATGAAGTTACATTGAGCATAAAATGTTTATTGAAAGAAATAATTTCAACTGAGAAGTGTGGCTAATACTCAATCATGCGTAAAACGCTTGTTTCCCAAAGCTGTGTTTTTCAATCAATATTAAAGAATCTAGAAGCGAACGCATAAAAGAAAAAAGGACAAGAGCAAGGATAAAAAAGTGTACTAAAAGTAACATCAATGTAGACTCAGTAGCAAAGTTTATATGATTCAAGCTAATTGCTAAACAAAAGAAACTACTATTTTACAATTTGAAAAAATAGCAAACACTTTTAAGAAAGAAAACCTTAGAAGATGCTAATTTTGAAATAGATTTAAATATATCGTTGCATATTACTTTTGAAATAATAATTGTGCAAAATAAAGCAACTAAAATTTTGTCTTATTTAATAAAAAAGTTTTCAACCACCAATGCTATAAATAATAATAATATTGCAACAATATTTTGCAAAACTTAACTAAAACAAGAAAAATTTTCTAAGTTATTTTTTACTAGCTACTGTGTGTTCTTGCTGTCAAAAAGATGTAATAATATTTAAGAATACTCTTGATTCATTTTGAATTAAAAATTCCTATTTCATTGAAAGAGATTTAAAATTTAACAGAAATGGGAGTTTTTACAGCCTAACTTCAAGTATAAAATATAAAATAAATGATTTAACTATAAAGGCCTTCATTTATCAATATTTTGGATAAACGAAAATACATATTTTTTTAGGAAAGATGTTTCGGTAAAAAAGGTAACAAATTGAATAACCGTTTTAATATAATAGAGAAAGATTTAGCAAAAACATTAAGAAAACGCACATGCAAAATAGGGTGTGTCTTACTAACTTTTTCCCAGATTGGAAACTCTCTATTCTAAAAACTTGTATTTATATATTATTTTACTAAAAAAGCTTAGATTTTAAAATTCGAAACTATTTAGCTACCGAGAATCGATATTTAGTATTCACTTAAATTCGCGGAAAATTTCTTAATAGAATTACAAATTGTTGCTTATGGTTGTATATTTTTGTCGGCTTAAATATTTATTTTTTATTTTTTAGTTATTATTATAAAGTTATTATTATTAAAATGTTTATAATAGTTTCCGTTTGTAATCATATTTGTATCATTTAGTTTTTTATTTAATAAAAGTAGATTTTTTCCATTAAAATATTTTTTTAACCAAATAACATTTCCATTTTTTTTTTGAAAATTTAAAAAATAAAAAATTTTATGCAAAAGGTTTGCAAATTATGAACTTTGCTATTTAATCATGGCGGAGTCAATATTCTCAAAAACTAGATAAAAGAAACGGATCAAAGTTTTCGGAATATTTTGGTTCTAAATATGATATCCTTTTCTCGGAGTTAACAACGCTAAAAGATCTTCGTAGATATGGTCTGTTTTTGCAAGAATAAAACAATGGAAACAAAAGAATTTATCTGATAAAATTACAAATAAACAATGTTTACACAAAATTGATCGGTAAATGGATCCACGCCAATGCTTTACTTGTATATCCTGTAACATACATTGAATATTATATTACTGCAACATTCGTGAATGGAGCCAACCTGGTTGCTAGAGAAAAAGCAAGCTTAAAGAATAACGATTTTTGACAAAACTTGACAAATTGTTTGATATACGGAATTGTAATTGCTAAATTATTACTTGTCAAGAGAAAAATTGTTTTTCAGAATGTAACGATGAAGCCCATACTTACTCTAAGTGTGAAAAGAAGAAAATGATTCCAAAGAAAAAGTTAGTTTTCAAACTTTAACAAAGAGCTAAATTATGGACTACCAGTTTGCATCAAATTGGATTAGCTGACTTGAAAGAAAACAAAAAGCTACATATATTGGAGAAAGAAGATCGTAGTAAGAAGTAAGATTTTTTTAATTAGTTAAATTTTTAATTAGGAATTAGTTAATAAAGAAAAATTAATAAGCTACAAAATTAAATTAATTTTAATTATATTACAAACATATCTGCCCGTTTCAACTTAAAAATAACAAAATCTAATTAAATTCAAAATGAAACTTCTACATGCGACTATTTATATTTTACTTATAATAGGAAATGACAAATAAAAAATATATTCATAAAATTTGTACTTACAATAATTTGCAAAACATCAATCAATGAAAATTCGAGTACTTTATCCATAGTTAAAGCAAAAAGCGTCTGAAGAACTGCAACACACAATTAGAAGTTAAGAAGATAAGTTTGAATTTGAATTTAGCAAAACAGTTGAAGTATTTAGTAATGAATGTTTGTTGAAGTATTTAGTAATGAATGAAAATAAAGAGCAATACTGAACTTAATCTAATGTGTCGACAAAATGAACACCAGAAACGTTTACATACGTGGACAGAATAATTATGAAAGTTTTTCCAGCATAGCTTTAGCGAGCATACGGTGTGGTACAGGCTTACGAGAAACAGCTTTAACTGCAACAGTTGCTTGGATGGATGCATGAATAGTTAAAGATTATACCAAGTTGGTTACTGGCAACAACAAAGTCAAGAGAGCTCAAGAAAAAATTATGCAGTCTCTTTCTAGAGATTTTAATACTCAATGCAGGTCTACAATTATTGATTGTGTTTTTTTTGATGGCAGAATGGCCATCAAAAAAAACACAATCAATAATTGTAGATGACCCGGTGGTAGGTATCTTTTTTTGATGGCCTGGTGGTAGGTATCTTTTGTATCTTACACCTTTAAAAAATTCAAAAACATATGAAACACGTTGAAGTAATTGCTCAGAATAAATACGAATTTTTAAATAGTAATGGTGTTGATAAAAGCTTAATTGGCACCATTACTTTTCAGCAATTGGCGGTGATTGTACTAATGTCAACACAAGGTGGTCAGGTAGAGCAATACATTGGCTGGAAGTAACTGGCTGGTTTGCGCCCTCCATACTAATGAACTTTCTCTGTTTCATCTGATAACAACTATAGAGAAGAAAAATAGAGAAACACTGGAAAATTATTCAATGACGCAACTGCTCTGTAAATTAATCTATCCTTTAAAAAAATTGAAGTCGGAAACCCGCTTATTATTCTAAAGGATAAAGTAATCAAAAATTTATTCCTCCGATCAGTTTTATGGGTAAGAATAGTCTCTGCAATTAGAAGTGGAAATATACCCGCAGACTTGGCTTAACTTGAAATTGGAACAGTTAACCATTCCGGATGGTTGACAACAGCCAACAGACTTTGCAGTGATTGGGTCTCAAAACATCAGTTAGAAGGAGAAAGTTTAAAAACCCTTAAATTAATAATTGAGTTCTGGAAACCTTAAATTAATAACTGAGTACTGAAGAACTGAGACATATTCTTTACCATTCTTTACAAACCATGCTCTGCTCAGAGAATGTAGAGGAAAGAAAGAACGGTATAGAGTTAGTTGTGAAAATCAGAGGTCCTGGCGGTGAAAAACTTCAAACTCCATAAGCTAGGATAACTCTAGAAATAAAACCTGATGCAACAACGCCTATACAGCTACTCGATATGAATATATACTATGAGTCTATCTTTACTTGTGATCTGACAATAGAAGAAGTAACAAAGATAATATTTCAACCTATAATTGTTCCAAATTAGCCATGTCATGGACAGTCGATTGAAAGACAAGTTAAACAGGTAACAGAAGCAGTATGCAAAATTTATTTTCAAGAAAAAAGAGATGGTTTTATAAAAGCGCAGGACTTATATAAAGAAATGATATCTACAAATTGGTCAAAGAAAGATTTTATTTTAATGACAAAAAAAAATTGTAAATTTTATTTTGTTAAAAAAATATTTCAATATAAAAAATCTAAATTTATTAAATAAAAAACTTAATGATACAAAAATGATTACAAACGGAAACTATTATAAACATTTTAATAATATTAACTTTATAATAATAACTAAAAAATAAAAAATTTAATTTTAAGACGAAAAATTTAATTTAATATAAGCCGAAATATTTAGCATTGCTAAATTGTTCTATTTTAACATAGATTTAACAAGTTGCATCAGATTTATATATTTAGAACATATGTATGATTTAATATTGTTATTGATTATAACTATAATAATATCGATGGTTAAGAGCACAAGGGAAATACGTCCACTAACCATTGTTTTGAGAAATCTGAATTTGAAAGTTTGAAATCAAACAATAATTCCTGATATTTATTTATTGTCATGATTTTTAACCAAATGCATTCCTCGATTAATTCTGTCTTGTTTTTTACTATTTTTTTTTTCATTTCTTTTACATACTTTAATACAATATCTGGGCAATAACTCAAAACCGTAAAATGTTGGACATATTCCCTTTGCGCTCTTAACCATCGATATTATGAGTGTTATGGTTTATTTTAAATTTAAATAAAATTCACTTGATTTTAAATAAGCAATATATTGTAAATAAATAAAAATTAAAAAAAATAACAGGTTAAAATATTATTACAACCTCATAGTAATTAAAATATCAAATCTTATGCTTTATATGTTATAGTTTAACAAATATCAAGCTTATTTTTAGTGAAGTATTTTGTATAATTCTGTTTCAAAATTAATAATTTGAAGAAATGAGTCAAAAAGAGAATGAAGACATTATGCTATATGTGACGAAAAATATGGTGAATAAAGATGTTGAGGCAATTAAATATTACTAAAGAAATGATATTGGTGCTGGTATTCTTGAAAATATTCATACTCCAATCAAATTAGTTGAAGTTTTAGAACAGCATAATTTTTTAGGGGATGATTATAACAAATTCGTTAAATTGCTTGCAAAAATTGGAAGGTGTGATCTGGCTAAATACATTAGTGGTAAGTTTAATAATAGTATGATATTTAATAATTGTATTCATATATATTAGAATAGTTACTTGAAATGATCAAACTACGTTACTGACGACATAATGCTAAAATATCGATCTATTGGGGCTTACGCTACTGCCAAGCGTTTGGACAGCATCTACTATAAAAAATATTTACAGCGACAACGTTTTGTTTTTCTTTTTTTCGTTATTATTTTTTTCTGCCTTTTATAAGCCAGTGGGCATGGGACCTAAAAAAGACGTCTTTTGAACGTTCAAAAGACGTCCAAAACGTTCAAAAGACGTTCAAAAGACGTCTAAAACGTTCATAACACGTTTAAAAGACGTCTTTTATACGTCCGTGCCGACTGGGAAGAATATTCCAGGATTAATGTCTGCATCTGAAAACTATTGTATTAGTGGTGTTCAGCCACAGATTTATTTTTTTGTACATTTGCCAAATAAAAATTTACTCTTCGGAAAAAATACCATAAATAATGTAAATTGATTTGCTTAACTTATTAATTAAAATGAATGTGCGTTAATTCAATTTGTTATGATAACTTTTAATCCTTAATAGCAGCAGAAATATCTAAAAAAAAAATAAAATATCAATTAAAAAAATTTATTTAGAATCAGCAAAGCTGGCTCTATTTTTTTATCAAACAAGCAGAAAAGGTTTAAAAAGTTTATCTACTTTAATAAAATATGTGGGAAAAGAACATTCAGATAAATGCTTTGATTTAAGTAAATCAAAGCATTTATCTGAATGTTTAACTTTTGGTTTGTTGTAATTATTGATTTAACAATCAATAGTGACAACAAACCAAAATTATTTCAACTCACAGGTTTTCCTAATTTAAATTTTTGAGCTAAATAATTCTAATAAATAATGACAACGTTCAATGATGACATGAAATAAACAGCGTAAAACTGACGAAATCAGAACAGTTATTAAATTAGAATGAGCATTTCTTTAGGAGTCTTTTTACAAAAAAGCCAAATTTATTACAAAAACAAATTATAATGCCTAAATATGAATTTAAGTAATACCACCAAAAAATCTAATTCAAAGACTCACTTCGACTCCCACCACTCAATGAAGAGTGGTGGGTGCAAAATGTTTTTAGATTGAATCCCAACCCCACCCCTCCATTTTTCAAGTTTAAACCCCTTTTGCGGATCGAGTGTATTTTATAAAAATAATTTAATCATTCTTTTAAAAACATCACTAGAATACTACTAAAGAAAAATAAAAAATACGTATATTAGTGGCGAATTCTGCATAGGTTATGGGGGAGCAAGCTTCCTCATCGCGCTTAACTGCCGCCCCTTCGAGTTGGTCAACTGGCGACCCTTAAGTTTCTTTTAATGTAAGTTTCTCATCACAAAACTCTGCGTTTATTTTAAACAAAAATTTAAAACAAAGATGTTACCAAATTATCGTTTACATATCTACTTTACAAATTTGCACGCATTCATGGAAAAAGTCCTTTTATAATCATAATTTACACAGTCAATAGATTTTAGTTAAACATAGTTCGGTGTACCAATACTACTGTGACTATATAGTGACAGATGTTCATAAAACTACGATGTCTTATTAAAGATATCGTAGTTTTAAAGGAAAAAAACATAAATTTATAAACTAAGTAGTTTCAAAATATTAGAGCAATTTAAGTATGTTTTTATATACTAAAAATTTTTTTGGAAAAAAACCTAAATGGCAACCCTATTTAATTGAATCTTGTGCCGGTCCTACATTCAAAGATGTGAATGCATCAATATTTACAATAGTAACAACTGAACTAATATTAAAACACGTACTCCCATTCTTAATAGCGAAATAATTGACAATATGCTTTCCTAACTTCTCCTTAGTCTATAAAATAATTTCAAATGTTATTTCTATTCCTCTCATTCCCCTTAAATAACGCTAAACCTAAATCCACCACTGCTTTGTATATGTTTTTACAATGATTTTGGGATAGATGTTGCACGATTAAATTAAAATTCTATTAAAATATAAAGACATTTCTAAGAGACATAATACTGCATGAATAAAGATCATTTGAAAGGATCTATGCGATGATTTTGCAATTCAAATTAATTAAAGAAAAATCAGAAATAGCTTTAGAATTCACAACGGACTCTAATAAGTAAATCAAATGGCAGATAAGAGAGGATAATATATTTCAATAATAAACAAACTAGAGCGCCATTATGCTTTCTAGAAACTTAACGAGATAAGAAAAAACGTGCTCGTGCGTAAAGTCTAAAAACGGTTACTAGGACCCAGTCCTTTTAAAGTAGTTTATAAATGAGGGTTTTTCTTTTTGTTAAATAACAAGAAAAACAAAAAATAAACACGATTTGAATAAAGTATAAAATTGAAAGCATTTGTACAAACTTAATAACTATAAAATTTTGAACTTTCTGATGTTTCATCAACAATAATAAAAAAATACTTATATTTTTTGATTTTTTTTTAATATTATCTGAAATTTCTTCCCTGAAATACATTATTAGCTCATTTAGCGATGTGTTTGATATATAAAAGAATTTTTCTTGCAATAAAAGCACTATGAAACATTCTAAGGACGTAAGCGATTGGAATTTAGCTATACACTTCTAATGTTGTTTTCTTCAATACTAAAAAACGTAATTATGAAGTTAGCTATACACTTCTAATGTTGTTTTCTTCAATACTAAAAAACGTAATTATTGTGCTGAAAATAGGCTGAAAAATCCTTAAAAACCCTTTACAAAAAGATAGATAAAGCTTATATATCTTAAAGAGAATTATATGGGATATACAGCTTCGCTATTCGTAATAGTAATTTTACTTAATAATTGCAAAAGCTGGATACAAACTTTTCAAAAACACCAAAAAACAAAAACTAGTTTTTCCATTGCAATTTTAGACAGCTTCATTTGCATCACTCTGTTGTATTACTTATTTGTATTACTTCCTCTCTTGTATCCAAAAAACTTTGTAAAACCGACAATGAAAAAAATATAAATTATTCCGATTTACATTTTCTCTGCAGGGCTTCTCAACACAAATAAAGCAAACTTTTTCTTTTCTTATTTATTATGTTTATGATGAAGTTATAATATTTATGATAAGGTTATTGAAATGATACACAGTTAAATGTAATAAACTTTTAGATGTTCACTGATATATTTAAATGTGTACTTTTTGTTATTAATGGTGTTCTCCCAATGAAAACAGTTAAATAGTAAAACTTGCCGAAATATTTCACCCAGGGTGTATGTAGAAAAGAAATTCAAAATTTGTTTTAAGTGAAATAATTATTTTGATGCTTTTTTAAACTACAAAAATATAATACTTTTAAAATAAAGTTTTATGCAACAAATAATAAATATATAACAAAATAAAATAGTCAACTCAAATTTCTAATAAATTTACAGAAGTGAAAAATTTATTAAACCTCCAAACCTCCGACCTCCAAATAATTAAACTGTTTTTCTTGTTTTTTTTTAAATGGACAAAAAATATGGCAAATTGACAAACAATATAACAAAGTTAAGAAATTGCTACAGTATAATGAGTTCCGATTTTTATTTTCTTTTTAACCTTTTTAAATGATTTACTATGCATAATTTGCTTAATTATTGTTTTTGTTTGGTTTTAGTTGCTATATTTAAAAAAAAACAAGTTTTTCCAACAAGATATTCAAAATTTTTAAATGATTTATTTGGCTACGTCCAACTATGTAGCAGACATTCTTAGACACACCTCTGATCATAACTCAATTTTTATCCACAAATTTAAAATTAAATTGCTTACGTCTGAAGGCTGTGAAAAAAACCAACTAAATTGGCAAAAAGGTTGATTTTATGACCGCATCGCAGGAAAAAGGTCTAATATATATTTTGACAATATTGACGTCATTGGGGCAGTTTTGAAAAAAAAGAGTGGGGCAACTTTGAATCATTGAATGGATTGCTTCAACTTCCCGCACTTTATTGCTTTATTATTTAGGGACTGAATTTTGGTTATTTTATGATAAAAATGGTTCAAAATTATGGAAAAAAGTGAGTTACAGAAGTCATAGAGGAAAATGTCAGTAATACTTTTCTCCAAGTTGCAAATTGATTAATGAAGCCAAACGAAGCTGCTTTAACCTATAATTTAAAACGTAATACTTTACATTAAAGAATAAAGAAGTATAAAAAGTCATTATCCAAGACTAAATTAGGTTTTACAAGTAAATATACAGTCGCACAAGTATTTAATGAAGATGAGAAAATAATGTTGAAAGTTTTCCTTTTAAAAAGCTCTAAAATGATCTATGGGTTGACATTTATACAAGCACAAGAAATAGCATTTCATTATGCAATGAAACTTTTCAGATGTTTAAGTAAATGGATAGAAAATAAACAAGATGGTATAGAGTGGTTAAAAGGCTTCATAAAACGCCACCAAAAACTTTCGCTCAACGAGTTTTAATGAGCACAATGTAAATCAGTTTTTTGATAACTATGAAAAAGTATTAAAAAAACATTATTTCACTCTTGATAAAATTTATAATATTGATGAAACCAACATTATGACAGTAATAAAAGCACCCCATGTTATAGCATCACGTGAAACAAAACAAGTTGGATAGTGCGTATCTGCTGAACGTGGACAATTAATTACAATGTGTGGTATAGGAAATGCCATAGAAAATTTCATTCCACGTATTTTCATATTTCCAAGAGCACGGTTCCATGACGCCATAATAAAAGGAGGACCTCCTGGTTGTATTGGTTATACAAACATTTCAAAAAATGGCTGGATGATAGGGTTATTGTTTTTAAAGGTTCTAGAACATATAAAAAAACTATTTAGATGTTCGAAAGAGGATCCTGTTTTACTCTCAATGGATAATCATGAAAACGATTGTACATTAAATACCATCAATTATTGTTTACAAAATAGAATGTTTTAACATTTCCTCCTTACTGCACACACAGAATGCAAGCTTTAGGTGTAGCAATGAATGGTCCTTTCAATCAAAAACTGTCTATTTCTCAGAATGATTGGCTTGTACACAATCCGTGCAAAACAATAACAGTACATGGTTTAGTTGGCATAGTGACACCAGCATATACTATAACGTATAATGCCAGGATTATTTGTGCAGGTTTTTCCACACCTGTTATATATTCTTTTTCCCGCCTTGCTTTGTGCAATGAAAACTTTCAAAGTGCTGAAGTAACTCAATCTCAATACATTTTTTTTAATTTTTTTAATCTGGCTATATTTATAGCAAAAAATTAAAAATAACAAAAAACCTTTTAATTGCTTTTTTTTCCCTGCCTCCACTGCAATACCATGTGGAGTAGCAGGACGGTTTTATCAAACTTTTTCCTTATTAGGTTTTAGCACCTTTTTTTTTAAGACTATCCGTAGCTTATTAGGACCAATTATGCGAGAACAGTATTAAAATCGTGACACACACGCAAAATATTTTCGCCACGTTTATTGGTGTTTTAAGAAATCCAAAAAATTTATAAAATTAAAAAAAAAACAACGGTTAAAGTGTATAACGTTTAACTTGTTTAACTTCACAAATATTTTGTAATTTAAAGAAAAAAATTGCTGGCGGTAAATTTGAACCACGACTATTACGTTCAGAAGCTTAGCGCGCTAACCACTCAGCCATGCTGACACATCAAATATCGAAATTTAAAAAAAAAAAAAAATTGTTTTTAACGGAATTGCTGTAGATCAAAAAATTAGGAGTGGTTGACGCAATGCAATTTTTAAGTCAAAGTCAAAGTATAAAACTTGAAAAATGTTTCAGTATGTTTCATCATTACTTATTTTGTACGTTAGATATTTGCATACACGTTTTCTTCTAAAAAAAGTGTCGCGACTCTTTCTACTAACACTACTATTAAGTTTGGCATTATTATATAGAAGATAGATAGATTATAAAATAGTTTTTCACTTAAAAGGGCAAACTCTATTCCACATTAACCTTATCTCTATTTCTCCCTCTAATATTTTTTAGTGAACAATAGATTATGTGCTAGAAAAAAATAATTCACATATGCACTTTTTCCGTATATTTATATTTAGACCTTAACATAAAGGAGGTATATCATTTAGTTCAAGACAACCTGCCCAAACCCAAATCCTCTGTTGATTTATGCACACTCACTGTCGCTAGGCGTGTAATATAAGTAGCTAGGCAAGTCAAATAAATTAACTTGATCTGTTTTTCTGCATAAAACAAAAACAGAAAATGTGAAGTACTTGACATAAGGAACTGTAATATTGGATTTAGTTTATTCAATACAAAGTGATAGGAAACTGCAAAATAAGGTAACAACGTGAAAATTATTCAAATACTAATTTACAACAATTTGTATTGCGTTTTATTAAAATAGCTTTATTAAATGGTATAAAGATTGATGATTCTTCTTCTTCGCCTTTAGAAAATGATTAACGATTTGAAAGACTTTTAAATTGATTATAAAAGCATTATCTAAAAATGAAATTAAATCATTATTGATAACAGTGAACGCACATTTATTTGTTTTATGTTAATTCATTTGAAAAATGAAAAATACGAAACGAAATTTAGTAATATTAAGTAAATATTAGACACTTACTTTGTGAGAGTGCTTTCGTAAAAGTCTCTAATATTTGGTTGGAAGGCTTACTCTTTTTTTTTTGTAAAAAAATTCAGTTTTATCAGCATTGCTAAAGATAAAAATTCTTACTGACACAAAAAAATTAGGCATTTTTTCTTAAAATATTTCTTGGCTTTTAGTGAATGATTAGGAGTAAGTTTCAGTAATGAAGCTACCCAATAATCATTTTTAACAATAGACACCAACGTGAAGGTAAGCCAAGCTTTCTATCAACACTAAACATCACAACAACATTACAGGATGACAAACAATAACACCAGTAGTGTAGGCAAGATTTTTGTTGTTTCAGATATATATTAAGAAGCTGTTGAAGAGTTTAGCTTTGTTATGTCTAAAAAAATTCAGGTTAGGAATAACACTTTTTTTAAACATTTGCTCCTAAGCTTTAACAACATCAATTTTTTGCAAAGTTTTTTAATTCTATAAACGTGAATACACTTAAGCTTGGTTGAACGTGCTATCTGAAGCATCAAAAGACCCTGCCTATGCTACTGAATACACATAGCATAAAATGTTTTTACATAACACAAAATATTCAGATTATGTGTTTCTAGAATAATTAAAAAAGCTAGACAACACAACCTAGCTCAATACTTGTAACACCGCTTGGCACTAAACGCTGCCAAGTAACACCACAATTTAGTAACACCGCTTGGCATTAAGTGCCAAGTAACATCATTAGTAACACCGCTTGGCTAGCAAGAATCACAATCTTGCACTACACGTTGCCAAGTAACAACACTATTCACATGGAAACAACTTAATATAAACTTATATAAACTTAAGCAAATAAATATAAATAAAGATATATAAACGCATATCTGATTAATTTTTTGCTATACTAATCTAAAATGAACAAAAACAATAAAGTGCTATTTATCAATTTAAATCTATGAAACTATGTGTATAGCAAATAAAATTTGTGAACAAAAGTTATAACTAAACTGGTTTGAAACAGAGAAAAAGCCAGAAGTATCTTGTAATAACATACTATATTATAAGTAATAAAACAGTTTTTTGAAAAATTAAAAAATTTTATTATTTTAAAAGTCATATTAATGGTAATATTAAAAAGCAAAATTAGTTACAAATTTTTAAATGACATGCCAACAATTGCAAACATGTTGCATCATATAGACCACATGTGGCTGACAACTGATTTTAAATACTATTTTATAATATATCTAAAGAGAATAATGTAACGAGATTAATAGGTGTATAGTGCATATATTAGAAATATTAAACAGACATCATAGAAAAAGAAAAATTTTAAATATACTTACCAAATCTTTCAAAAACTATATAACACTTAACAAATAAAAGTTAATACAAATGAAAATTTAGTATTATTAAAATTAAAAATGAGGATAAAACGATGTAAAAACTTAAATTATTAAAAAAACTTATAGACAAATTATTAAAAACTTTTATAACATAAGAGTTCTTTGTAAGTTTAGGATTTTAAAACAGAATTAAAAATTAAAAAAATAAAATAGTAAAAGTATAAAAATTAAAATAATAAAAAATTTAAAAAAATTAAAAAAAAACATTTTTTTAAAAAGTCAATTTTCTTTATAAATAAAAAGAAGATAATTCTACTAGTAGTTTAGAAAAGCTACTAGTAGAAATTAAAAGAGTTGAACCGCTTCCCAGCACCCCTCCTTTTACCAGTGGTGTCATATGGGGCTTGTCTCCTCCATCTAAAGGAGGGATCATCTCCCCCATATTGACTCCACCGGGAACTGGGTGCTGGGAGCGGTATCGCAGGAAATCTTGATGCGATGCTAAAAAACAAAAACTAAAAAAGAAATAAATTTGAATACAATACTGCACAAAACAACCAATAAAAATAATATATAAAACTATTTAGAATTTAAAAAAAAAAAGTTATGAGAAAAAAATAAAATAAATAAAGTAATATAAAAATAAGGATATGCAATGTTTAAACTTCATATATACCTACACAAATACACATAACACCCACAAAACTGCATAAGTATGCAAAACAGATTACCTGATGGTCCTGCAGATATTGTTGCTATTATGGAAATAAATAAAAAAGTATATAAACAAACACATATATTAAACAGTTATGTAATTGCATACAAACATGAAAAAAGCAATGTTTAGGTTTCAATACACATAACACTGCATAAGTACGGAAAAACTGCATAAGTATGGAAAACACATTACCTGGTGGTACTGCAGTTGATACTGTTGCTATTGCGGAAATAAATAAAAAAGTATATAAACAAACACATATATTAAACAGTTAAACAGTATAAAGTAACATATGTTAAACATTTATGTAATTGATAACAAACATGAAAAAAGTAATGTTTAAATTCAATACACATAAAACCCATAAAACTGCATAAGTATGCAAAACACATTACCTGATGGCACTGCAGATGATATTGATGCTATTGTGAAAGTAAGAAAAAAATGTGTATAAAGTATCATATGTTAAACATTTATGTAATTACATGAAAACATAAAAAAAAAAATAATTTAAGTTTCAATACACGTAAAACTCATAAAACTGCATAAATATGCTAAACAGATTGCCTGATATTATTGCTTGAGGTGTTAATGTAAAGACAAAAAAATAAATAAATACACATAACACTCATAAAACTGCATAAGTATGCAAAACACATTACCTGATGGTACTGCAGATGATATTGATGCTATTGTGAAAGCAAAAAAAAAAAAAGTGTATAAAGTAACATATGTTATACATTTATGTAATTGTTTACAAACATTAAAAAAGTAATGTTTAAGTTCCAATACACATAACACTCATAAAACTGCATAAGTATGCAAAACACATTACCTGATGGTACTGCATATGATGACATTGGTGCTATTGTAAAGGTAAAAAAAAAATAGTGTATAAAGTAACATATGTTAAACATTTATGTAATTGAATGAAAACAGTAATGATTAAGTTTCAATACACATAAAACCCATAAAACTGCATAAGTATGCTAAACAGATTACCTGATATTATTGCTTGAGGTGCTAATGTAGAGACAAAAAATAAATAAATAAAGTAATCTGTAAATTAAGATATGCTACCTTTAAGTTTTAACACACATAACACTCTTAAAACTACATAAGAATGCAAAACACATTACCTGATGGTACTGCAAATGACGCTATAGTGGAGGTAAAAAATTTATTTACATAAACTAACATATACTAATCAATTAAACAGTTTATTTTACAGTGATAAAACCGCACACAAACATCAAAAAATGTGTGTTAAAATTAAACAAAAAGAAACATAAGTGTACTTTGCTTACCAATTGAATTTTCTAAATTTTCTAAATAGAATAAAAAAAAACTCATTAACATTAGGAAAGAAACTAACATGCAGAATATTTTTCAACTTTAGGAAATCTATAAATAAAGTTGGAACAAAACAAAAGGCAAAAATAACAATCACGAAACAAAACAAACCAAAAAAGAAAAAAGCGACAAAAAAAATCAAAAATAAAAATAAAGAAACAATTCACAAGAACAATATAGTAACTTACTAAATTGTTGAAATATAAGCCCGATAAAAAAAATGCTGAAAATTCAAATCAAAAAAGCTAAAAGATCATAGAGTACACCTTTTTTTGTGAAAGTAAAACGCTCTATCTTTATCTATAATACACAAATGTAATATAATCAAATTCTGTTTACCCATTGAATGTTCTAATTTTTCTAAATAAAATGAAAAACTTATAAACATTAAAATAAACTAACTTTCCAAATATAGAATAACTTTATGTTAAATAAATATGTAATAAAAAAAATAAAGAGTATGACAACAACAATAACAAATTGCTTACTTAGATTCCCAACAGAATCTTCTAATTTTTCTAAATAAAATAAATTTAAAAGTTACAAAAGTCACTTGCTGACTGACAAACTGTCACAACTGAAAACAGTCAGTTGCTAAATAACTTTAAAAAAAACTAAAAAAGCATAAATGTATTTGCACACAAAAAAAACAAAAAACAACAACAAAATTCCTGACTTAGCTTGTCCATTACTTCCGCTAACCATTAAAAAAAAGTTATAATTAACAAATTGCTAAAATTGGTGAAATATATATCTTTGTAACATATCCTTCATACAAAGTTAGCTTACTTGGTATAAGCTCTTCGGCTCTGATCTCTTGAACATCTAATATATATATATAGACAAAATTAATTTTCAAAATATTCACTTTTTAAATTAAACATATAAGATTTGTCTTAAATTATAAAACTGTTGCACAGTTTTATAATTTAACACATTCAGTAAATGACAAAAAGTTTCATTTTACGTAAAAGTTTAGTAGTTAGAAGACTTAAAAGTCAATTTTAGCTTAAACACGTTTTATAAAATTATAGCTTAAACACCTTAAATAAAGCTTATACGCGTTTTTAAGGATCACTGCTTTACAAAAACATCAATCAAAATAGCGGAATAAACAAAAATTGATTTTCAGGTCCACCCTTTTAAAGTTCTAAAAATTAATTTATATATTTTTTAATTTTAGTTAAATTTTAGGGCGGTGAACTTGATTCACGGGGAGGGCGGCATATCTTGGTTGATTTCAATTAAAAACGGCTAAAATAAATCATCGTTTTATTCACACCGTGAATTAAGTACAGCTTCGCCACTTTTAGAACATATGTAACTGCTACTATATATACTATATATATATATAGTATATATAAATGACTTACTTCGAAAAA